CCTAATGCTGCATTAGCCTGGTTCTGTCTCCAGAGAGATCTTCCCTCAGTGTCAAAAGTGGCTCTCAATCCTGCTTGTCTCTGTTGGGTGAGGGAAGGTGGTGATTTAAACTAATTCACTCAGAGGGGCGTGAGTTCACTTTCTCATCTTGATGTGTTGGCATCTGATGATACTGACAACCCAAACACAGTTCTAGTTGGTGAAGTTTCAGGCAGTATCACTTATTGATAAAAATCGTGGAGCTGTGAAGGTCCTTTCTCTCTGAATTTGATTCTTTTTTTTAAATAGAGACAATGAATCACTTGTATAATGAAGACTGAAAACGAGGGGAGAGAGGAGTCCAAGATTTATGACTCTGGTCCTGGGTGGTTGGGAACACTCCCCACCCTGGGCCATGTTGGAGGGTGGGCTGTGGCGCGTCAGCTGAGGTTTCTCGGAGGCACTCACGATGGGTGCCCATTGGTGTTTGGATTTACCACGCTCTGCCTCGGGTGGGACGTCTTGGCAAGAGACAGCACACTAAGACCCATCCATAACGGCTGACTTTACGGGCTGTGATGAAATCACCTCTGAGGTGATGACAGCCCACTTAAGGAGCAAACTGAGCAAGAGTCCTCGAGAGGTGGGAGAGCCAGGAAGTGGGGGTCGGCGTTTGCGTGCTGAGCTGTGGCAGGGCATCAGGTCCCCCTGCTCTCAGAACTGCTGTGCGCTTTCAGCTGCTTTTGGTTTACCGATGACACCCTTAAAGAAAACACAGTAGTCAGTGATGGTAGGTTTTTGTGAAATGCTGTTTTAACGTAACCACATAAGTCACTTGCGTATATCATTTTGTGACTGCATGGCTGTGAAAACATGTTATTAGCAACATTAGTCTGTCTTAAATTTTAAATGGCTATGACGCATTTTCTAGATCTTTGTGTCTACAAAATGATTTACAGCCTATTTCACTGGTCTCAGCTAGAACTGAGGCAAATAGTTGTTGTAGATCCTTTTCAACAGAGATGGTAGCAGGCTGCAGGCACATTCATGGTTCAGTAACAGGAGCAGTTGGATCCCAAATTGTATCGTTTGTCTATTTTTCTGTGCTCTTGCTTTAAGTAAATACTTGTGTTTTAAAATGAATGAATAGTACATACAATTAACTAGTAACTTTTAATGATGTGAGCACTTTCAAGAGATGATGTGAGTGTGGTGGAAAGTAATGCATAGATAGGCAGGCAGGCAGGCAGGTAATCTTACCTCGGGAATGAGTAAAAGTGGGAGACTTAGCATAGCTAGATCTTAGCCGGACTGTCGTGTGCACAGTGCCCTTTTACACGGCCTACTGACCCGTCCATTCCAAGTGAGATCTCTCTATCTAGCTGAAGCCACCACCGGGGTTGGGCAGTCACCTGGGACTGAAATAGGACTGGGAGAGACGTGAAACACAAGGCAAAAAATAGAGGATGTCTGGGGAGGTGGCGGGCTCAGCACGTGGCTCGTTTGAGCCTCCAGAGGATCGGATCCCGTGTTAGGTTCAGAACCTGACAGTAAACATCTTGGGGGCCCAGGTTGGAAACAACAGCTTTGAGTTTAACAGAATATTAACCATTGTTGTTCTGCATTTTGTTTTCAGTTAGCAGGAACTCTGTTTTTTATTTTTTTATATTCATTTACTTGGGTTTTTTTTTGAGTTTTTGAAAAAATTTTAAAGAACTTCATTGTGGTATAATTTCTGTACAGTAAACTACACATATTTCAGATTGGGACCCTGTTTTTGAAAGAGGAGTTAAAAGTTTTGAATCAGGCCCTCCTAACTTAATTATATCTGTTTTATCAGATCATCCTATTTTATTGGAAATATCTGCAAAACAGTCATTCCCGTGTTGCGTGATTTTTAATTTCTGATATCACTTAAATTATTTTTGCCTTGTATTACATTCGTTTCTCTGTGTGTGCATTGTCTGCTGGGTTTGTGTGTCTTTGCATCTCCGGTGGGCAGACCCTGGCTATTAGATACTTGCTGGTAAGTGCGTCAGCGGCTGAGGGGGGCAGTGTGAAGGCTGGGTTGTGTGGGACGGCTGTGGCCAGGATATGAGTGTCCCCTAGGCTGCCATATGCCCTTTGTGTTAGGGTATGTATTGTCCTACTGAGACCACGTAAGTGGCGCCTGCTGTTCTTAGTCCTTCAGAACACCAGCTAAGTCACGTAGTAGGCAGACTGGGGAGGGAAGAACGAGGAGCACCAGATAAAGTTGTGGCTGTAGGCGAATCAGGTCAGAGTAGACGCTTCACACTGCACTGGTGGTTACTTAGGATTCCCACACCTTTTGGCATCTAATGAAGCCACATTTCCCTTGATGAATGTCTTCTTTTTGGTTTGTGTGTCTTCGTGACAAGACGTGGGTCTCAGGCGGGAGTCTGCGGGGAGTAAAAGCACCAGCTGTTGATTGTGGGTTGTGACCTGGAGCTTGATCCTGAGGGCTGCTTTCTGCAGTCACTCTGACCCCAAGGCCGACATTGCTTATTTCCTCTAACGTAGAACTGCCTTCCCTGAGTAGCTGGCTTTTGATCATTATGCAAAATCCCCAGAATTGTTGGAGTGTGAACAGTGCAGAAGGTACAGGCATCTGTTTCCTTGCGTCATCAGCTGGACAGATGGGCTGCTGTAGAGCTGGAACATTGTCACCCGACGTTGTTTCTGACCCTTGAGTTACGTGATTGCTTGGGATATTGTAGTGGAATAAACCAAGCGTTCTAAATAGACCTCAAAGAAGGGGAAAAAAATGCAGTGCGTATTTTATAAGACCATACTTTCTTATTACCAGAATGCGTAAATAACTTAAATATTTTTTATTTGGCTCAAGTCGCATTGGTATTCAGTCCATGTAAAGTTCTAACTAATCTTCAGTCCTCTTGGGTTTCAGGTGTTAAAAGTGGACCAACAAGGCACGATGTCTTGAATGGCTCGTGGGAAGGCCTGACAGACCTCATCAGACCTCACGAGGAATCGAAGGAAAGAGAGACAGGCCAAAAGGTTGGTGTGTGAAAATGCTGTTTAAACTCGCCAGGGCTGCTGCTCCATGATGTTCTGCTCTGGGTTCATGAAACACAAACTCATCTGTCCATTTGAGTTTAAAACTTAATTACGGTGGATGTTGGGAAACTCTGGCAATAACAGCAGGCGTGCCAGTCACATTCGGGACGGAGTTACTGCTGGCGGGACCAGGCTTCCCCTGCCACTTTGCCAGGGCGCTGCTCGTGTGTAACGGTGCTGCCAGCTTCCCTCAAGGAGAGCACGTCGGGCATGCCAGCGAGGTCGTTGCTTCATAATCCGGGCGAACGTTCACTGGGCAGGAGGTGAAGAGCCCGAGCGCCGTCCCTGGCGAGCTGGCCGAGGCCTGGCCCTCGGCCTTCGGGGCGGGCGGTTCCCGTGCTGGGGCTGCAGGGCCAGCTCTTCCTCTCCGTGCGCTCCCCTGGGGAACCCAGGGAGGGCTGGACGCTGGGTGACCTTTCAACATCCGCTTTCCTGCTGAAAGTTCGAGTTAGCCATTGATAGTCATGTGCCTGGTTTTCACGAGGCTGAGAAGGTATAAAACCATGGAGTCCGAGTTCCAGGCTGCAGTGCTAAGCCAGTAACAGACGGGGCGGGGTGGAGAGCCTGCCCCGGGGCACCCGGCTCCGGCCGCCAGGTCCAGCAGCCGCGTCTCACGCCGGGGAAGAGGAACGGGACACCTTCCTTATCCTGGCAGTGGTTGAAAGAAGTTAAAATTACCACGCAGATTCCATGAACGTCTGCTGTAACTTGGTAGAAACTCAGATTTCTTTACCAACGCTTTCTGGTTTGTCTCAAAGAAACGGAGCCAAAAATGGAAAGGAACCACCTTCCGGGCAGGGCCACAGGTTTGCGGGGGAGGAGATTTGTGGGGTCCCCTGACATGTGAGTGGCTGAGCGACACCAGGCTCCCTGTGTCTTGATTGTAGTGACCGTCCCAAGGCTGGTACATGGCCTCCCCGGGACTGAGCCTCTGCAGAGAGCTGGTGCCCTGGGGCTGCATTTATGCCGTTTCCCTGTGTGCCAGCCTCCGTCCTGATTGCAGCATGGCCACCTGCCTTTTTCCTTTGGGAAAAATAAAGCAAAATCCTTATTGGTCTTCATTCCATGGGCATTCACTCAGTGTGTGGTACTGCTTCTGGACAAGAAAACCCAGCTTTTCCTAAGTGGCTCTGTTTGTAAATCGCACTTTGGAGCCGTCTCTGCTGAGCAGGGTTGTCCCTGAGAGGACACAATGGGTCAGAGCACAGAAACGTGTGCAGCTGGCTTTCCTGAGCTCGGAGGCTGAGAGAGAAATGAAAGGCCAGACACTTCAAACTATACAGTACACTTACTGACAGTGACAGATCAAATGCTTAAATCACTACAGATTTCTTTGTGTGTGTGGGGGGGTAATTAGGTATATTTATTTCATTTATTTTTTAATGGTGATACTGGGGAATGAACCCTCATGCATGCTAAACACGCGCTCCACCCCTGAGCTCTTCCCTCCTCCCCTCTACAAGTTTTTTAAACAGAGTAGCAAACAAGTGATGAATAATAGCTTATATATATTCCCATAATTGCTTGTTCTCACATTTTTACTAGGATGTGAGCCCTTCAGGACATAAGGTTTAATCGTTCTGTGCTCACTGCAGTGCAGTACGACGCACAAAACCGTTTAGTAAATATTTGCTGAATGAGTAAGAGCTGCACGAATTTCCCTTCTGCTTTTTGAGTGAACATCTTGTTCCGTTTCTGGTGCTTTTAACCATCCCACAATAATGTCATAATCATCATCATATACCTCATTTCCTTTTGAATATTCTTGTGAACTTGTAAAGTGGTCTCAAATCAGTGACTAAGATGGGAGGTTCTGCATTGCAGTGCATCATTTCTACAAGCGTTGACTCCCCTACGCGCTGGTTCTGTCCCGTTGGACAAGTTACTCAGTGCTTCTGTGCCTCTGCTTCCTTGTGTATAAAACAGGCACAGTCACAGTGCCAGTCTCAGAGGGTTTGTGCTAATTAAGGGAGTTGAAACATGCAAGGACTTGAAGATGACAGATGTCTGATACATAGAGACACTCGGTAAATGTTAGCTGTGTTTCCCAGCACAAGTGTGGGTGAAAATGACACCCACATACGAACTGTCCTCTGTTTTGCAGCTGTTCTCAAAGTAGACTGGGTGGGTCTCTCTGCCTGCCCGCTTCCCTAGCCTCTAGAGATGTGTCTTTAGTCAAAATGGCCCTCCAAGTTCTGGACTGGTCCAAACTTTGTGTCTTACTGGACCTACTGACCACAGTCATGCTGGGGCCAGAACAGCGCCCAGGGCATGGGAGGGAGGGAGAGCTGGGGTGTATTTGAAAAACTCCGCACGTGGTTCTGACACGATGGTCATCCTTCCAGGTGAGAACCTGTCACAGGGGTAGATGGAGCCTCACCTCTTTAGGTCTTTAGCACGAAATCACCCCCTGGCACCCGCCCAGGAGCACAGGTCTCCCGGTGAGTGGTCCCTGCTCTGGGGATTTGCTTCCCTTTTCTCTAAGGTCAGTAGAACCACCTGGAAATAACCAGGATTTCTCAGCAGACCTGTGTGAGGGGTACATAACGGGCTCCGTGTCACCGCTGACAGCAGCCATTCCTCAAGCACTGGGACCTCTTTTTAGAATGAGTTTTCTGTTTGGCCGCCACACGGAGGTGCAGAGGGCTCTGATCGTGCCTTTAGTGTGGAGGTGGTAGATTTGGAATTACAGCCCGTTCGCGTCTGGTGGGGAGAAGGCAGAGGAGCCAGCAGCCACAAGAGAGGAAACCCCGGGCTGCGGGGACGATGTGGGCGCTTGCCCGCCACCTGCGGGGAGGGGGACGGGGTGGTGGGGGCTAGAAGCCTTTCTGAATAAAGAAGTCGGGTACTGGAGCCACTTTTCATTTAAAACATGATTTTCCTCAGTATCGTTTCTCCTCTAAAAGGTCCCTGAATGAGTCTCGCTACTCTGCTGGAAACTCTCGGGTTTTATGAACGTGCTTTTACAACTTGCGGTAATTCTGGGGCTTGGGCAGTTTGCCATTAGATAGTGTGCCTGGCTGGAAGCGTGCAGTCTTGTGGGTTGTTTTTAAGTTTAGCTTTCAAGTTGGAATAGCAGTGACTCATCCAAACGACAGGTGATATTTATTTTGTTTCTTGACATCTCTGCATGAGTGTGTTGTTGTCAGTCACTCGGGGGAATTGCCACACTTCCTGGAGGATGACACCCCCGTAAACGTCCCCGTAAGTCACTCCCCATTGTTCAGACCCTCCACGCGCAGTAAGGTAGAGCCTGTCACCCAGGAGGCCTCTGAGTGCGGACGGTTTGAGGGATGGGCTGCAGACTCCACAGGGGCCTTTGACTTGTAATCAGGTATTTGAAGGGTCTGTAATTGCTTTGATGAACCATTTCTGGCCACGCGCACCCGAAGCTGGCAGTGGGGGGCGTGTGCTGGTTGTGCCAGGTGTCCAGTCCGCCAGCAGATGTGACTTGGTGAAGCCATCAGAAAACCCGCTTCCTCTCGGTGGAGCGACAGCTTTGGCTCGGTCAGCGTGTTGTTTTTCTCCTGTTGGGTATGAGCAAAAAATATTTAGATAGAAAACATGAAAAAAGAATCTTCAAAGAGCTCCATTTTTTTTTTACTGTGTTTTCTGTGTTCAGTGACTGACATTGTGTGCACTATAAAATGTGTGCTTCAGAAACTGCCAAGTGTGTCTTGTTCTGGAGGTGGTGGGCCTGAGGGCCTGTCAGGACGGTGCCACGTCCTTTCTCGTGAGCCTCGGTGGTCGTGTTGGGCCACGTAAAGGTAGAGGCCAGGGTAGTCCTTCCCGCCCCCACCCCCGGGAGGGGCCAGAGACAGAGGAAACTCCAAGAAGCCCTTCGACCATCTGCTGCAGGGCATTTGTGCCCAGGGCGGATTCGAGACGCATGTTCCAAATGCAGGTAGTCACGGCTGCTGGTTTCTAAGGTCCAGCTTGCTAAGTATGGCATCTGGGGGATGTTAGCCAAATGACAGTAAACCATGGTAACCTGGCTTACAAATATCCAGTTCATCTCTTTAAGATAAGCAAAAACCCAAACAAACAAGTAACTTGCTGAAGTAGCGAACCTGAATCTTTTAAAAACCCAACAAAACAGGTCCTTTGGGAGGGAAAGACACACAGCCCCATGACCCCCCAACCCATGTAAATGCTCATTCTTCGCTGAGCAGCCACTGCCCAGGGAGGCGCTCGTGCCCGAGTGTCGATTGCACCCCTCAGCCCTGCCCCACCCGCCATCCTGCACCCACTCTGTTCTCAGACCTCTGCTCCAAGCTAGTCGCGGTCACTCTGTTTCTCTTAGCAGTCATTAGTCTGGGAACATGACTCACTTCTGCCCAATGAGATGCGGAGGGAAGTCTTACTGGGAGGTTTCTGGAAAAAGTGTTCCCTCACTTGAGACGGCCCTGGGAAGAAAAGCCGCCCTGCCCCTCAGAGCTTTGTTACGGCTGGACGTGTCCCCGGGAACTAACCGTGCAGCCTGGGGACCAGGCCAAAGAGCGAACCCAAGAGAGGAAGCGGGAAGGGGCCTGCCAATCTCACGGCTTCTTTCCACTGACATCAGAGAGATGTTTGGACAAGGGACACGTTGCAGCGTTTGTTATGTTCCTAAGATCTGACAGGATGTCCACATTCAGAGATGCGTAGCAGTGAGCATCCGTCCAAAGGCTGGACTCCACTTAAACGTGGGTGGTTTTCCCAAGCAGGTTTTTCACATCTTCTCTGGAGGAGCAGTGATGTCCTCTCCAATCACAAGATATTTATTACTTCTCTTTAAGTCTATTCAGCTCGCTCTCCTCGGTTTCAGAGTTATTGCTTTCCAAATAATACTTAGGGATATGAATTATTGGCTATTAGTAGTTTCAAAAAAAGAAATAAAAATAGCATTATTCAGACGGAAAGGAGTTAAATGCGAGAGTGACAGATAAAACCACAACTCA